AATGTTCTAACTGGCTCCACAAACTGTATCAAGAAAAGGTTGGTTTTTTGTCTAGACAGCACTTGCAAGCCACTAGTGGTCAGTTACTTACACTGCTCGTAGACCTTTACAGTGTGCATACGAAGTGGTCCTGCTTTGGGGGCTAGGAGTTGGTTGGTTTGTTTGTTTATCAGGATAAGTGCTGTCTTTCCCTGGACATAAACTGGTCTTGTGCTATCAGTCATGGTTGCCTTTGTTTTGTACTTGAAGAGCAACAGGAACAAAACTTAAGCAAGCCTCAACAGAGTAGTCTTAAAAGTCTTCTTTAGAAAGTTGCATAAGGACACAAAAACTGCAACTATCTCCTGGTTGGTAGAAACACCTCTTTCCCCATAAAAGCACCTCCTAAATCAAGAAGTAATTCATGAGCTCAACGAGGTATATTTTGCTTTACTGTATTAAAATTTTTGTCCCTTGTTTTACTGTCTTTTTTACCAAGACGAAGATCCAGTACTAATAGGACAGGATGATAAATTGCTTTCACATTGTGTCCATAGAAGATGTGCATGTAAGATTCCTAATTGCATAGGATGGGGGCAGAATAATAATCACTGTGTGTTTGCAATTCTTTTTTTTCCCCAAATACTTTCATATGCATTCTTCAGACTTTCAGAATTTGTTTCTCGTGGGTTTTGGTTTATGAACATAGGAGATAATGATTGAGGGTTGTGCTCTTTGAATACAGGCAGCACTCCCATTTCAGTCAGTGGGAGTCATAGGCATGCAAGGCATGAGGGCCTGGCAGCTCAGTTTGCTGCGATAAATTGATCTAAGTTATGTATTCAGACTGGAATAGAGCAGTGCTTTGGATTTAGAAGTGCTAGAATATAGCTATGCTCTGGTTTCCTGTCTCTGGGATAGCAAAATTCTGCTGTGCCACTCATTGTACTCCACCCAGAACACCTCATTAACATTTCTGTATTGACTATATTCTAATATTTCTCAGCTTCAAACTATGACTGTTTCTGATTTAATTCATAGCCCTTCTAAGGAGCTTGCTCACAGGAATGCAAAAAGTCAATGCATGTTGAGACCTCAGTTGTAGATCTCCTAGCTTTGCCTCTGACTTCCCTTCTTGTCAGTTGTGCCACTAATTGAGACATGACCCCGAACACCTTTCTGCAAAAAGGCGTGATTTTACCCATGGGCTTGGGCTCTCTCTGCAGGCACGTAAATGCAAATGGTCCTTTTGCTGAACATTGCAAAGGTCCCTTTTCTGCTACTGTGACTTTGTCTGTAACCTTGTTTCGTGTTCCTAAGAAATACTTAGACGTTTGCAAGACAAGAACATAAATCAAACAAGAATGTGGTGATTGTTTTCCTGAATCCTTTATTACATAGTTTGCAGTAATTCACTTGAAGTTTTTTCTGGTTTTCCCTCTTCGGTGAACACTCAGTTATTTCTAGTGCAAACAGAGCTTACTTCTATCCTGCGTTCCTCACAACAACTTAGTTTGCTGGTGGGTTAAATCCATACTTTCCTATTTAAGTATAGGAGGAATGTATGTTCAGTTTTCCTTTCCATTAAACATTTTTGGTTGTGTGGCGGGTTTTTTTTAATGCTTTTTTTCTGTTTGATGGTGGTTTTCTTATTTTTCTGAAGATAGTATGTTCCTCTTCCTTCAACTGTTTTACCTCAGTGAAACTATTATTTCTTTGCAGTCATTCCTAGTTACACAAGCCCGTGTCTAGGTAAAATCAAGACTGGGAGAATACAGAGCAGGGACAATTTCTTTAAGAGTTCTGAGATGATGAAAGCCCACTCGCAGGGTAAAAATGCAATTCTGTTTCACCTTTCTGCCATGCGTCTTTAAAAAGATAATTGGCTCTTAGTTTGGATAAAAAGCAGCATTGCCACCTACGCGTTGTTTCCAAAAAGGAATTCTGTTTCAGGTTAATGTCTTCAGAGTCAGTAAATATTTATGATAAAATGTAACAAATCTGTATTCAAAGGGCAGTAATTCATTGCAAGATAGGCACCCATTCCCTGCTTTGTCTATTTCCTTGTAGCACTCCGCTTTCTGTTTCAAAGTGAGACAAGGTGTGCACACTGCTGAAAAACAGAGCCCCTATTTTATCGTGCATTATGGTTGGCATGTGCCCTTCTCAGTGATTTTCATAACTTTGCAGTACCTTCTCAAGACTTAGATACTATCTGCTGAATTGAGCTCTAATAGCATGATTTAGTAGGTGGGGTGTGCCACGGGTGCTCAGGTCAAGGCTGGAGTGACATGCACTCATGATGATCAGAGACACAAAGCTGTTTGAATGAGTAATGAAATCAGCAGTTAGTGGACATGAGAGGACGTGACTTTTTTTTTTTTTTTAAACTGTCATTAGTAAAGGAGTGAGACTCTTTGAGGAAATCTTGTTCTGTCATTTTTTACCTCATTGCCTGATCTCAGTTACGCATACCTCAATCTGAGATATTGCTCTCTGGGAATCTGTTGTGTTCATGTTCTTGCTACTTGTCACTTCATTCTCTGGTTTAGCCACTGCTGCAAATGCAACGAACAGGGCCTTGATAGATAAATAATGTCACTGTGCTGTTCTAAACCAAACACTGTTCTCCCTCCTCTTCCAGGCGTACAGTAAGCACCATGTCCACATACTTCTTCCTCACCTGTGGTGAATTTTGGCCAGCATTGTATCAGTTAATGCCAAATGATGACAAAGGTGCAATTTGGGTTGCATGTTGCCTTTTCTTGCCACCCCACCCCTCTACGCCTTTTTTGAACTGCCATTCCTAGAAAGACTCCCTTTGATTCTAGCAAGGACTAAGTTGAGCATCTTAGTGCCTGGTTTGAAGAGGTGCTGTATAATAGTCACAACTCTGCTTGCCCTTGCATGTTTGATTTCTTTTTTCACCTCTTTACAGCCTCAGCACCTGAAATAGAAGTTTTGCTTGAGAATCTGGATTTCCATTAAAAAGAAAGCGAGTTTCTAACTCCTCTCACTTGTAAGAGAAGCATGGAAAACAGGGCATGAAAATATATGCCAAAATGCCCCAGGGAATTAGCAAAGCATAACTGAAGAGGGGAAGTGTGCAGAACTCTAGTGTTTGGGAACAAAGGATTTATTTTTGGATACTGATTCTTTGTGGGCAGTGCATACCTCTGCAGTCAAACCTCCCTGGTGGGAGCAAGGAGGAGGAATCCAGTTAGCCTCTCACAAAGACAATGGATGTTCCCTGATTTCCCCCCACTGCATTACCCACCCCACTGTCTGAAGTAACTCAGATTTGGTGGTAGCATTACAGAGAGCATGTTTCCATGTCTGAATATGTTACTTGAGCGGATGGGAGGGATTTATTACAAACTGAAAATAAGGTCTGTATGTAGAGGAATGAAAGGAACATAATTTAGATGAGGTGACTGAGAGAAACTTTGAAGTACCTCATGGGTTTAAACGCTGACTTGAGCTGTTGATGGGTACCGTAGGCACCCTTGCAAAAGCTCAGAAGACAGATCAACCCACAGATCTCTTCTGCAAGGAATGTAAATGTTTTTAGGGTTAAGGAGTTGTAACTGAATTGAAGAGCTGTTCCTCACGGTAGTGTAAAACCTGTAGTGGAGGTGATGGCATTGACATTGCTTTGCCCCTTTTCTTCCATCTGTCACAAACCTCTTGGTGAGATTGTGGTCAATGGTTTTGCTGCCTCTAATGCAGTGCAGAGCCAACAAAGAGAAAACTGGCTGGGCTTGTTCTCAGTATGTCTTGCTCTTGGTGGTAACAGGCCCCCTAATGGTGATGCCAATAATAGTCAGAAATTCCTAACTTTTCTGGGTAATACCAGTATTTAGAAACATAATTGTATATAGCAGAATTCAATTTACTGATGATTAGTAGCTCTGTGTTAAACCAGACATAAACCAAAATCCCCAAGGCAGTGTAAAGCAAACTTCATACACTGTGTAATTTGTGGAAGACAGCTAATTAATTTGCTATAATGATCCCAGTACAGTCTAGCTCGCATGCGCAAAACAGTCATAATTTTTCTAATCTCAATAAAGAGAACGCAATGCTTTAATTACTGTGTAATCTCTTAAAAGCTAAATGTTCCCTTTGAAATAGATAAAATGGCAGCAGCGTGTAATTGCTTGAGTTGCCATTAAATAATTAAAGAATTGTCTGTGTCAGCTGGAGTGTAAGTAAATGTAAAATCATAGCACAGTAGAAAATCTTTTTGCGGTTGATTAAGACAGTTGTCTTTGCCGGAATTTTTGGAAACAGTCATGAAGCATTCTTTTCTTTGAAGAAATTTAGTACTTCATTCTAAACTGAGGTTCCTTTTTATATCAGTCTAATGCTGACTTCATTAATTAACCAATTTTATGTGGTAACACATATTAATAATCTTTGCTTTTGAACCAGAGGAGGGTTTTTTTTCCCCAACCACTTTGATATCTTGGGTTGATCACACTGCTAAAGGCAATGCCATTCACCCATATGGACTCTAGAGGAAGGTACCAAATTCCAAGTCTTCTGTTCTTTAAAAAACACACACCACAAAACAAAACAGAACAGAACAAAATAACAAACCCCACCCCATTATCTTCCTCATACTGTACTAAAAGGGAGAGTTCTTTGGTCAAAACCAGTGAGAGATTCTAAACTGTTTGCTTACTCAACTGTGTGTAGAGAGGTTCAGCACCCAAACTTTCTTCCGTCAGCTTCATGGGAACAAGACGAACAAGACCGCATCTATGGGACAAAGCAGACAGGAGGGGGTGGTGTTTTTTGGAATGTGGGACAAGATGGTGTCTGCTCGCCTCTTCTGGCAGGGCTGTGGATGCTGTTTTAGAGCAGTGGTTGGAGAAAACATTAGGGAACAGAGGATTCTATGATTCTATTCTTCTGTGATCTGCTGCTGAACATGTAGCCCAAACGCTTCTCTGGCTTACCAGCAGTATTTGGCCAGTGGCAGTGGCTCTTGCAGGAGGTTCAACAAGGACGTCTACATTGCTGCAGGAGTGTACATCCCCTCACCCTTCTTGTTTTACTGGGCTTGTTATACTCTCCAGACAAGCCATTTTTCAGGCTTCTGTGTGTAGGAGAAAGAAAGGATGTGTACATCCATGTAAGCTCTTTTTTTTTTGGACTATGTGTTCATTGACTTCAAAGTACAAGCTTTCCAGCCATGACTTGGTCTTTGATCTTCCCCTGTGGTTACAAGCCTGCAGAAAGAGGAACATCAAAGTCAGGAATGGCTATTTTAGTTGGCAGATGTGGATTTAATTGTTGCCCTCCTTTGCTCTACTAGGATGCATTCCAGGAAGAATACTACCGAACAGGAACCTACCCAGCAGTCCCTATAGTACCACCCCGACGACCATGGACGCTTTTGAACTGGCTTTTCTGGGCCTTATTGCTGCTATATCCTTTATTCAAGCTGCTCATCAACATGATCAACAGTGGATCATCACTGACATTGGCTAGTTTTGCATTTGTCATTGTAATGGGTGAGTTTTCTGAAACAGAAAGATTACTTACAGGGTAACTGTCAGACATGATTTACTGAGGCTTACTAAATATAAACATGATTTGTCGATTCAACCAACCATCTGATACTATATCCGCTTTACCCTGGAACAGGTTAAATAGATTCTGGTTTTTGTTGTTGTTTATTTTGTATAGTTATATTTTTTGTAAGAGCTGCATATAAAATTTTCTGTTTCTTTAGAAATCAAACTTTCCACTGGGTTGCCTACAAGAGGCTTTCTTTTCTTGTGTAGTGTGTTGCTGGGTTGCAGTTTGAATGCCTAGAAGCAATGCTCAAGGATAATTTATTCTATTGAGAATTCTTTCATCTAGTCATAGTCCAGTACATCATCCACTGGAAATCCATGAACTTGTGATTTTTGGACAGCCCGTTGTGGCCATCTACTCTGACTAACATAGTGCAGAGCATAGACTATCACAGGTGATTCCTATAGTTCCTATGGAAGTACTAAACTGCCTTGGTGTGTGTTTAAACTAGGATGTTATTTAAAAGGAGGAAGGAAAACAAAACGAGCTGGCTCAGAGAAAGGGAGGGAGATCTCATTTGGTGTCCTTCATGGAAGCAGGAACCAGGTCTGTTTGGCAAATTACATCATACCTAGGTGTCTGTGCCTTTTGGCATGTTGGGTGCCTGTTGGAAGAATAAGTTCCCTTCCGAAATAAGTCATATGTTTATAAAGCAAATATTTTCTATGGCTGCACTGACCATTACATGTGTTTATGACTTCATCACCTTCATGTCTGTGTATATTACAAACATCCTTTGAAAAAGAAACAGAACTTCACAGTCTTTCTGGCTTTGAGTGAACTTGAATGCAGAGAGATTAGAGTTAGCTTAAAAAGCCATGTCCAAAATAGCACCACAGAGGCAATAGGAAAACAGAGAGCATTTTCTTGTCTTAGAAGTGCATCTTTGCTGTCTACCTAGGAAATTGTTCATAACACGTATTTCTTTACTTTCTCAAAAAGTCTGAACTTTGAGCAGGTCCCATGCTAGTCTGATCTAGTGTACTTTTGTCCCATCTGTGAAGGACTTGATATGGTAGGCACACAATATTCTTTTTCAGAAAGTGCCTACTAAATCAAACTCTGTGGAAGCTTCATGTAAAGATAATTGGAGAAGGAAGAATTTGTGTTTATGTACATTTGTGTGCGCATGCGCGAAGGATATTTGCTACAAATCTTTGGGCCAGAGGAAGGAAAATAAGAGCAAGGATATGGTCCAACATAATGGTTGGTACATTAGTGTGGGCAAGGTAGAGGGGAAAGGGAGGGGAATCCTTCTCTTGTCCTCACCTGGAAAAATTGATGGTGCTTTTTACCTTTGGAATGTTTTATGTAAAATATGTAAAAATTTCTTGGAGCAGTGACTACAACTTAGAAGGACCTTTTGTCACCCACCTTACTTGTTGGAAGGCACAAGAAGTGCTCTCACTCCCCCATCTCTCTCCAATGAATAGGATGAGAGCAAAGAGTGAGCACCATGTTGCGCTCCTCAGGAATGGGAGGTGTTGGGGTCAGATCCCCTTCAGTGGCAGAGAAAGGTCAATCAGTCTCCCCTGTGCTCTAGTTCCAAATGAGAATACAACAGTGGACGGGATGAGGTATGACACCATTGCAAATGCTGCGTCCCTGGCCAAAGCACTCAAGAGGGCATTTGTTATGCCTTTGGAAGAAATACTGGCATAGTATTTGGTACTGGCCTGTGGAACAGTGGCCTTATGGGGCACTGAAGCTTAGCTGTTGCAATATATTTTTGTTTCTCATCTTTCCCTCAGCGTTTTCTTCTTAATTCAGTTTCTCCACTCAGTGGGCTGGTTAGTTGGGTACCATTTCAAAGTGCCTCTTGCCTTGTGTACCCTCCACAAGGAGCCTCACTGCGTAATTCAGCGTTGTGGATTTTAACCTTAGGGCCAAATGCTTTAATGTTTGGCATTGTGGCATCTGTGATGTTTCTGGATTTAATCCTTATTAATTTAGTTGAATGACAACGCATCCTTCACTGCCCACCCTAACTCCAGTACCACCTTGCCGTTAGTGGCCTTTACAACTAGGTCACGCCTTCTCTCTATCAGGAAGGGAGGGAAAGAACCTATGAGGGGAAAAAAGCTGTGATGCTACTAAGACTAGACAGCAAAAAGCCTTTTTTTTCTTCTTCTTTTTTTGCAGTCTTACTCCCCACTTAGCTTTCTTCTGCATCTAGCCACAAGGAAAGATTAATAAGCAGGCTACTGTGAGTCCTCTTTTGCATGCTGTTATAATCCAAAGGACTTGTTCTCAGATTATTGGTAATGCAGGAGCTAACAGAAAACTACAGCAGCAGTCTACTGCCAGATCGAACTTGTGAGCTCCCAGGCTGCAAAAGCACGGCCGAGGAACGCATTAAGAATGGTGAGATTAACAGGAAACTGCAATGTGCATTGCTGCCCCATACATATCCACCACATTTGTGGGATGCTGCAGGTTGGAGTCCCCTGCAACCTTTTGAAGACCCTTGTGCTTAGCACTAGCTCTGTTCTCCCTCTGAATACCTGGTGTGATCAAACCCAAAGTGCTTCTAATTGGCCAGGATTTGCAGCGCAGCAGAAGACACCACATGTCGTCTTCATTACATTGTGTGTAATAGAGGCTGGTGCCTGATTAGGCTCAGCCAGCCACCTCTTGCTGGTGAGCAGGCATAAAGAAAGATGATGTTGTCACTTATTAGCAGATAGCAGCTGCTGTGAAGCTGTGGAGGGAAGAGAATCCGTGGGAGTGGAAGGAAGCTCAGTCTTCAGTAAAAACAATCAAAAAAGCAGAGCTGGTTTATCCTGGTCACTTAAAAGCGGATGTGTCATTACTCGTCAAAAGAGCAACAGCTCCCTTAGTACGTTGTAGTCTGTATCCGTTTTACTATACCCCTTTAAAAGCAATGTTATTGTCAGTTGGGAGTCATTGAGATGCTTCCACAGAACGAGTACAACTTCAGCTGAAGCTGTCACCTTGACTTTTGTAGCCAATAGCTGAGTTTCTGTAGCAGGGCAGTTCTCCTAAAACTGCGCTTTTTATCCTGAGGGATGTCTCTGTCATGAATGTCCTGGGAGCGATGCAGCCATCTTCTGACAGAGGAGCAACCAGCGTTTTATTTTGCAGTTCTGCCTCCAGCTTTAGGCAAGGTCTCAGAAGTGACTTTGGCAATGGCTGGGAGGTAGCAGTAGATGAACACAAACGTACCTTGGAGGTTGTGACTCTTGGTGCCAGCTGGAACTGCTTGGCAGATCCAGTTTGTAGCAGGGAGGACTGTATTTGCTGTCTTCCAGTGTGAGCAGTAATTAGCACCTGGTGGCTTAACAATGTAAAAGGAAGCTTTTTCTGTAAATCAGAGGGATTTATTTACTATTGTGATCAGATGATAAAACTGCCTTTTCACATTGCTTCTAGTAGACCTTTTACCTCTGTTAACTGAAGCAGCACAGATAGCATTTGGGACATTATTTTTTTATATGGCAATTTGACAGCTCACCTGATACTCCGGAATTGGGAAGCTTATTGCAGTCTCTTATAGCGCATTACAAGTAGATTGCTGTTTCTAAGGGCAGGTTTCAGTACCTCCTAACAGTACCTTTATTAGCATAGGTGCAGGTAGCACCAGATATGCATAAACCTGCTGTGATACGAATGAGTGGAGGAACCAGGAACTGGTACCCTCTGCTTTGTTTCCAGAGTGTCATTTGTCTTTTGGACAGTCTCTGCTAATTGAGCTCTGCAGTAAAACGCTTAACTAACTGACTTGTAAGTAACTGGCTGCTCAGGTGGAAAGAGCCGTAAGAGAACTGCCCCATGGCAGTCAAGCTGGAGTGAAAGCACTGTAATACCTCAGACCCTCACCCTCAGATCCAAGGAATGAATAACCAATGTATATATAGCTCTGCTGGTTCAGCTCAAACACTTCCAGCCCTAAATAAACGATGTCTCCTCTTTATACAGAGAATGCTGAGCCATCCCCTCTTGCTTTGCTGGGCAGCAGCTGGGCTATTTATACTCATAATAATCATCACATTGTGCTAATATCTAACTACTGGTCTGGGACCAGAAGCCCTTCGTGGTACTACTTGAACCAACACAAGGCAGTCCCTGCTCCAGAGGATAAATGCTCAAGCAGTTTGAGGGACAAAAGTCTCTTTTGAAAACTGGTTTTTGTTTCGTAGGGCAAGAGAGTTGTGTACTTAGCTCACAACTGCTATTTAAAACTTGGGGCTGATATTTTAGTGTTAAAGCAGTGAGCGAGTCTGTCAAATGTCAGTATTTGTATTTGACAGCAGCCTCTTTTTTTTTCCCTCCTCCTGCTTCCCCAATCTCATTTGACTCCAAAGAAGCCAGTGTTAGGTTGCCTTTCGTGTTTTGGTAATTTGTGTTGAACAGGACAACCTTCATACTCTAGAAGTATTTTATTATGGAGCTGTCAACGGCAGTTAAAAGGAGATTGTTGGTTCTGCATGCAAAAGATGAGAGGGCGTCTCCTGGCTTTTAAATAAAGCAGTAGCTCTTACACCTCTAATGCTAAAAGCATAATGGCATCTGGGCTTATGGCAGGGGCCAGCAGCTAAGTATCAGCTACAGGCACGACAAGTACTTCACTTGAACCACACGTAAGGAGTAATGAGCCAACCTGGATTCTGCAGGAGCTGTTATGTGTCTGCTATACAGTGTGCGCAGCACTACTGGGAAACCTGCTTCCATGGATCATGGTACAAACTGTGAGTGAGTCCTTGGTGACTTGACAGTGTCTGAGTGCAGAATGTGGACCAGAGGGTCAGGGCATGATGTGATCTGGGCAGCAAGGCTGCAAATGCCTGTAGGCTGACATGAGTGGAAGGCAAGGAGGGCACGAGCCAGCAGTAAGTTTTCAACAGGAGAAGGATACAAACCATGTGTAGGACTTTGCCTGTTGGTGGAGCTGCCAGACAATCTGCGTTTTCAGCTTGGTGCCTAAAACTGGTATTTTTTTGTTACTTGCTTGTTTCTTCTCCTTTATTGTGTGTAAGATAGGCCCTAAATGCTGATTTTTACAATTCATATAAGCTTTAATTCTACAAATCTTCATTTCAATGTATAACCTCAGGCGTACAGCAGACTATATATGGGAAATTTTTATACCTCTACCTGTTGTGCCGCTTTTATATATAGGAGTTGCTGTGTGGTACAAACTCCAGGTAACAGATTAGAAGAAATCCCGAGATGTGAGAGAAAAAGTGGAAATCCTCTGCTCTGAGCTAAGGTTTTTGATGAGCAATGTGGTACCATGTGTGGGGGCTGGTGGTTTTCTTGGAGCTAAAAAACGTTCCAAGGGATTCCATTATTGGCTGTGTCTTTGTGTTAGCTCAGCCCCCATGACTCTGGCCAGCAGAGCAGGTCTCAGCAACCTCTTGCAACTTTTGGCTGGTAAGTAGTGGTGGGCAGAAAGATGGCAGGAGCTCCATTACCTTCGTTTTCCTGTGGAGCAGTGCAGGGATGCCTCAGCTGATAGCTTCTCTCTTTTGCTCTTCTCAGAGTGGGCTTAAACTCTCGCAGCTGTTAGGCACAATTCCTGCTTGATCTGCCTCTCTCCCCTTCCTTGTAGTAAAAAACCCTAAGTGCCCCTTATTATAGTTGTATTTAAAATAACAGTGGAATAAATTCTTAAATGCGCTTGTATCACTAGGGTATGCACTAAGGCTCCAGGAGAGTTGTGGAGAGGAGGCAGGCAGTGCACGGAGAAACCCTGAGGACCCCCAGTGCTTATCCCCACTTCGCTGTCACAGGCTTGGCAAACATGAGCAGTCCCTTCTCCTTGCACTCTGCCTTCCCCAGGGTGCTGAGGGCTGCAGGGTGAAATGAGGACAGGACAGTGGCAGCTTCTGCCAGGGAGCAAAGGAGAAGAAGAAAAAGATTTGAACTGCTGAACTAGGTATTTTTTGGTGTCCAGGCAATGGCATTCCTCTAACTGGATGAAATCCCCAATGTGCTGTGTGGTTGCTATAACAGCTGCTCTTATTTATGCTCTGTGTCCATCTCCAGATGCTGTTTCTCTTCCTTCTGGTTAAAGTCTTAATGCTTTCATGCTGACTATTATGTCATGATCACAGACTGCAGGCTGCATGTTGGATCTTCCTCTTGCCTTCCCTAGCTCATGGCCATTTAAATGTCAGAGATGATTTTTTTTTTTCTTCTTTTCTTTCTGTGACAGTGAAACCCTTCACTTGACCCAGTTGTGCACGTTTCCCTTCACAGACTAACGGAGTGGAAGTGACAGTGAACCGCCAAGTAGCTGTCTCCCTCTCTGGGCTGTGCATTGCACAGCTCCTCTGCCTGTGCAGGGTCCTGCTTTCCTCATGGCTCGGCAGCCTGGAGACCTGAGGGCAGCCCTATGGGCAGCCCAGCTTCCCCATTGTGCCGCTGTCTGTTCAGCCACTGCTGTGTACTGGATATGTACAGTAGCTGAGCCGAAGTTTGGGGCATAATAAATTTTGGGCAGCTGAGCCTCTTTCCAAAAAAAAAAAAGAAAGAAAAAAAAGAAAGTTGTGAGGGCGGGAGGAATAGGGCTAAGGGTAAGTTGTGTTTAACTTCAAACAGTCACTTCAGGCACTACAAATGAATTATAAAAAAAATTCCCCTAAATCCCTGTGCATGGTGAATTATTGCCACTAAATCAACTATAAAAGTCTTTCAAATTAACCTGGCCTCTGGTAATGGACTGTTTCATGAGCTGTAAATAGAAAAAAATGCCATAACTTTTTTCTTTTATCAAGACTGAAGTGCCCTTGCTCGTGCTCTTCCAGACATGGGGGCTGTTGAAAGCAGGCAGAGTTCCCTTCCCCTCTCACCCCTCGCGTGCGGATACATTAGTGCAGCTTGTCACTCCTGGGAGCCAGGTCACACCAGTGGCCCCAAGGCACCTGCGTTTCACAGCCAGCCTTGTCCAAGGTTTAATGGGGCCTCTCACCCATGTTGGTTCATGTGGCCTTTTCCCTGCTGGTGCGAGAGGATGCGTCCAGACTGAGGCCAGCAACCTGGGACCTTCCTCAAGGAAACACCGCAGGCAACTTACTTGATGCAGGGGCGCACCCTTTCACCAAAGGTCAAGAATGGGTAGTTAGTCTTCATGCTGAGCTTTTGTTAGTCTCTTTTAAAATGCTGCACCTGTGCAGACCTTCAATTTCTGTCTGCAAACTGCTTTTAACTTTATTTTTTATTTATATTGCAGCTTCTGTTGGTGTCAGATGGATGATAGGCGTTACAGAAATTAACAAGGGCTCCACCTATGGCAACAATGACAACAAGCAGAAACAAAAGTAGCGTCTTCAGAGACTGCTTCAATCCAAAGGGAACAAATGCAACTTCTGAAAACTCTTAAGTGCATATCACGGTCCTTCAGGTGAGATCAGAGGAAGGGGTAGGATGAGCAATTGCCATGTGTATTTGAATTTGAGCTCCTGTTATTTTTCTCTGGGGGTTTGGGCTGGATGACGTGCTTGAAAGATGCACTCCTTCCTATACTCTCCACAACAGGTTTGCATTTGGTTGGTTGGTTTGTTTTCCTATAAAGCGTCTTAAGTTCTGATGAAGGGGGAAAAAAATAAAATTCCAGTGTGCTTGTATGATGAGACTCTACCTGTAAACTAACCAGAGGTGCAGGATTTATCTTTCTTAAATTGCTCTGAGGAATGGATAAATGTCAATAGATTGTTACAAGATGATTAAAATTGATAGTTGTGCAGATCACCATTAACAGTTTAACAACCATAATCTGTCAGTGTTTAAATACAGTAAGATCCTCCGCTTGGCTACACCAGTAATGGACTGAAGCAGCTCTACTGAACTGGCAGAATTGCCATAGAGTTCTTCTATATCTAGAACTTATTCCCACAGTGTGCACCACACGGGCCCTCTAAAACTTCAGCCAGACCCTGGCTAAGGGCCCACTTTGTTAGATGGGAGCCTTGCAGTGGCATAACCTGGAGTGGCATTTGGCCTTGTGGCCCGAACAGAGCGTGGTACCTGCTGCCACATTGTTCCCCAGGCAATACACCAGCTGAAACGCGTAATTCTTTTGAGACTAAATGCCATTTATAGTTTGGAAAAAACAAGGTAATAAAATTCCTTTAGAGTTTAAACACTGATTAAAATTCTAGGCCTTCCTAACAATGATGGAAACAAAACAACTGGATACGCTTTAACTACGTAATGCCAAGTGTGCAGTAAAAGTTACGCCCCACACCGATAATGTTGTGATCCAAATTAATCTGCTTGTCTGTCTTCTCTGATAAACTAGTTTACGTGGTGCCTCATAATGGTCAGCCTGAGATAATACTTAAATTACCTTTTGCTTTTCTTTTGGGGAGAAGAGAGGAAGTAGGAGAGAGACCCAGGACAGTGGTATGGCTTAGAGTTTTTTTATGGCAGGCTGGACTTGCATTGACATCCTTCTGAATTAAACAAAACTAGAATCAAGCCCCTTAGGAAAACTGTTGCTCTGACATCCCTGGTACTGCTTCCAGGGCAGCCTCCTCTTGTTTTTAAACTTCAAGAGTTAAGGATATGCAAGTTACTAAAAAGAGCTTTTAAAAAAAAGGAAAAGAGGGGACTTCCAACTACCAGCAATTATGACTGAAACCCCCCCGATCTTTTACAATCTAACTAAAGCTACTCATGCTGAGCAGTGAGGATTGTAATTGGCACTTTCAATGATGGTACATTTTCATTGCATTTAGGACTAAATCGTGATAGTCTAGGAATGAAGAGCCTCTGTGTCTCTAATGAAGACAGTGAGCAGTCTTAGTTCTAGCAGCTGCTATAAAAAATATTTCTCTTCTGGCCTCAGTTTTGTTATAGGAAACGGGCTAATACAACAGATGATGAATCATTCCATGAAATATGCATTTGCTGTTCAGTACATCAGATCATCTAGACACTAGTCTTTTTAATGTGCAGCACCTAAAGAGCAGGTGGAGTAGCGCTTTTAGTGTGGGGCAGTAAGTAAAGTTTTTTGAGAGTGGAGGCAATAAAACGTACAACATGAAGGAATAGGCCTTGGGAACGGTGAGGGACTAGTTTTGGAGGCTTTTTTCTCCACTCGTCTTGTGTACACATGCATTCCCTATTTTCTAAAGCTTTCTGGAATATGTTGTATAATGTCCTGAACACAACAAACAGGCGACTTAGTGTAGTTCTTCAACACATGAAATAGAGCCTGACAACAGAGAATACTGCCACGTTTATAAAGTTATTCTCTTCATAAAGCACATGCTATTATTTGCTAGAACAATCTTTAACAGTGGAAAACTGAGTATTATAACCTGTAGTAGTGTGTGAAGGTCCAGCTATCCTGTAGTAATGCATCAGGCATTTTAATGAGCCAGGCCTGAAGCCACAGTGTACAAGATTTTGAAAATGGGTCGAGTGGGAGTGAGAAAAGATCTCTCCAAGCTAGCATTTTACTGTAAGTGTGACAAATACAGTGGGCTTTTCTCAGGGTGGTAGAATGAACCCTGTACTCAGGGGTGAGTAGTTCTGAGCAGCAAATACATATTCATGTAGCTTTTTTGCCTTTTTAAAGAGCCACTGACTTAACATACTGGTGGGGAGACATCTAACATTCCTTAAGAATCTTAGTCCTTTCCTCTCCAGCTGCATGCAGTGCCACTTCTCCCAGAGGAAAATATCAAGCTTGTAAATACTTCTGAAAGAGTATTTAGACTATTTAATACCCATTGCCCTGGGACCAACCCTTAGAACAGGCTGGGGGCCAAACACACCACTCCTGGATCCATCCTCCTAAGCACTTCTAGAAGTCCCAGCACACCAGGACTGCACCACTGAGCCCTTCCGGCGTTCACTGGCAAACAGGGAAAGCTTCACTGTACTCGCCAAAGTTAAACTCGTCCAGTTCACTGTATTAAAAGAATGACATATGTCATTAGGAAGCAGTGTTAGCCCCTCCTCCCCACAAGCAACTGTATGTTCTACAACTGCCTTAACAAAAGTAGTCTTAACGTTTGTTTATACAAAAATAAAAGTATACAAAGCCGATGTGCTGTGAATGAGTTTTCTTTTGGCTGGCAACAATGAGCTAGTAACAGTTTACTTTTCACCATTATCCTGACTCCTAAAAGCTGTCCTCGGTTCCTGTTTGTGTGCAAGGGCACCTGAAATAAGGCAAAGGAGGACACAAACTGCTCAGATACTTGTGATCTACCACAAAGCGAAGCACACAGCAGGCCAGGGGCAGGGGAGGAAATTTTAAGCTCAAGTACCTTCACAGTCAGTTGCTGAGGATGACAATGTACTTCCCCTCCTGTCACAACAGGAAATAGAGAACTGAAGAAAAGGGAAAGTCTTTGTTTAAATTCAGCACTGTGTTTTTTTGAGAACCTGGATACACTGCACCGGTGGCCTCCACGGTGAGGCTTGTGCTTTTCTAAATTTAAATGTTATGTTTCATGGTACCTTCTCAACAGCTCACCCAGCTGCTAAAAGCCACTCCACACCTGTAACAAACCAAGGATTTGTGGGTTAAGAGGAGAGACAGGACTTTAAAATAAAGCCAAACATTAAAAGCAAGTTCTCTGCTTTATAAGTTACCCATTTTAAGGTCTAAAGCTGTAACAGGAACGTGTAAACTTACTTAAGTTGTAAGCATTAGTGCAAGTCATCGTTTGCAACAGCAAGCCAAACAAAATAATCTAAACAGAGCAAGTGTTGCTGACTGTTTCTTCTAACTGCTAACCACTTCTAACCTCTCTCCATCTGCTAAGACCGATGACAATTGAGGTGTGGTGGGGAAATCGAAGTCCAGGATCAGGAATCAGTTTAAAAAAGCTTTTAACAACAAGTTCTTGTTTTTGCCAAACAGAACACAAGTAGAATCATAGAATGGTTTAGGTTGGAAGGGACCTTCAAGACCATCTAGTTCCAACCCCTCCTGCCACAGGCAGGGACACTTTCCACTACAACATGTTGCTTAATCTTAACTGATTCTCCTCTTGGCCACAGAAATGCCACACAGACCGTTCCCCGTTTGCAGTACTCACATTCAAGATGAAAGTTATTTCAGACCATGACCCTATCCCTTATATAAGGGGTAGTGTCAGGAATTGGACATCGCCCTGTTTCCTCGGGAGAGGATGAAGGGGGGATCTTAATCCTGTTATCACTTGTGCAGTGTAAGATGCTTCTTACACATCTTGAACTTGACAAAAGATTGGCTACTGCAATATAAGAAAAGCTTATTCCAGTTAGGTTGGCTTAGTAGTCTGAACTTTTTTCCAGTGCTTGTTTCAAAATGTGACATGACCCACGTAATTTATTTTCAGAAGAAAAACCCTTCACCAGCTAACTCCTAAAATAAACCATTTATTGAGAAAAAACTTTTTTTAAAATCTCATTAATCAGCCTTGTGCATAACAAATCTGAAGCTTGCCAAAAACAAATAAACAAAAAACCAGTAAAAGTTCACAGTCAGTGCACTCAACAAACAGATTAAAAAACAAGGTCCATAACGCCTGATAACACTACAGCATTTTTCTGAACCTAAAGAGTTCAAAAATACTACATATTAACATTACGGTTCTCAATCAAATGAGAAACAGGAGAAAGAACAAAAAAGGTATGGTCCATATACAGTAGTAATGGCACTTTCACTGAAACATGCAGCTTCTTCCAACTGGCGGACACCGTCACATGAGCAACATGTGCCAAGTAACACATACAGGAGCAGCAGAGAAAGTGACACACGTCACTTGTGCAGTCTTCGTAAGTTCAACTTTTATACTGTTTCTCAGCACAGTCTTTATGTAAATATTACATACAGTAGTGATTAAAAGGTATCTTGCCAGAATAAAAAAGGCCAGAGATTCAATAACTTCATTCTTCATCTGTGCAAACCTGTGAGGGGGACAAACGGTGATTAATTCTCCCGCAGCGAGAAGATGGTATCAGATCAATTTCTTGAGCACCTCCATTGAACAGAAAGGTAGCAGGACATCTTTGAAGCTTTCTTCTTTCTCCCTCGTTATACAGATAATGAATTACAAGTGTATTACAGTTCTCTATGAATACTGGTGTTTCCACTGCCTGTCACCATGCTACTCTCACGTGCCTAAAGAAGCGTCCTGCCTCTGTGATGGATGGGATCTGGCTGTAGTTGCTCTGATGAGAGGGATGGATATGATGCTATTGAACCAGAATACCAGAGTGAACAACTTTATACTGGAAATTGGGACAGAATTCAATAACCTGTGACTACTGTGCTCCTAGCTCTTCAGAAAAGAAGTTACTATTACACCTAAATTTGCGGCTGTGGATATTTACCTATTCTTAAGCAAAGAACTAAACCAAATTTCATGCCAGAACTGCAGATTGTTATGCTAATTGCCAGATAAACGTTCAATATGAACTTAATGCTATTAAGTATGAACTTTAAAGAAAAGCAGATCCTCACACTGAAGGATGGTAGAGTTCTCAAGCATGTGCTTGTTTCACTTTTTATGGAGTTTACAAGTCTGTACACATGTACTCACTGAAGTTTTAGGCACAAAGCCCTTCAGATCCAATTAGCTACCACCGAGCTGAAGTTTGACGAGTCTTTTTAATATAAAGATAATGCATCTCAAAACAGCAGTGAAAGTTCACTGCATGGTGCACACCATATCCTTCTTTTAGTCAAATGTTTGCTAGCAACATCGTATGTGCTTCTGAAGAGTTGTCAAACCTTGTTTTCTGGACAGCATCAACTTGCTATCTGGCAGTCTCCCACCGTGACACAAAGCCCTGCAGCACGGCTGCCATCCATGAAGCCAACTACAAGCTGTTTCCGATTCCCATCTATAGTCTGTATAGCCAAAGTCATGAGACAAACCTTGACAAAAGGATGATCGAGGAGCTGGCTGGCCGTCCACCTCATCTTTGGGTCACTTTCCAGGCAGTGGCAAAGGAAGTCTTTCCCTTCCGGGCTCACTTTGTCAGGAATCGGAGGTTTATGACCCATCCCCACTTTGTACATGATCTGGAAGTTGTGCTCATATTCATGCCAAGGCCTCTGCAACAGGTAACAGAATTGCTACGTGCAAGGTTTAGCAAGTGACTTGCTATCCAATAGAGCACACATTTCTGTACCACAGGAAATTAAAAAACACCCGTGCACTTGGAGATGTAAGCGTGACAAATTGCTGGGAGCGGGACCAGAATTTGCAGAGAAAGCACTAAGAACAGTTTGCACTCACTCAGTATATGAAACATCCCTACCTTGCCGGTGACCATCTCTATAACAACACAGCCCAGGCTCCAGATGTCTGCTGCACGTCCGTGCCCTTCTCCTTTAGCTCTAGTAATTACTTCTGGAGCCATGTACGCTTTGAAACAACACATGCGATACCATCAGTTCATGCAGCAGAAGGAACAGTATGCATTACGTGATTAACTGGGCAAACCAAATGCTTTTTAATACACCAGCAATGAATTACCACTCAGCTTTTCTTGCTGAGTTTTGTCATTTGCTGGCTTCTTGTTCTTCGACACATTTGCAGCATAACAGTCTTTCAGTTTGAAAAATGAGAGTGAAAATGCCGGTATAGTACATGCTTTCAGTTATTTTCATTTTTTAAAAATAGATTAAGCAGCTGTTCAGTAGGAACAGTACTGTTTAGTACGGCTGCAGAGAAGGATTTGACCCCAGAAAACACAAGCTGCAGCACCATTACAGTTACCAGACAAATACAATTTTATCTTTCCAGTTACATTGTTCACTGATTGTTTTGGCTTCTGGATGTAAAGCACATCTAACACTAGCTACGGTAACATCAAGTTTCCCTGAAACGCATCATTTTAGTCCAGCCTAGACTTCTGGCAGAGGTATCTTCTTCTATGGTAACAAGTCAAGTATCTGCCTAGCATGTGCTTCCTTACCTGCAGTTCCTAAAGTACTGTTCACTTCTCCAGGCATTGTCTGGGTGTTGTTCTTCAGTTTCACTGAGCAGCCAAAGTCTCCTAGTTTAATCAGTCCAGATGAGGTAAGAAAGATGTTGGCTCCTAGGAAAAACAACAAAAAAAATAGTAATGCTGTTAAAACTAGTGCTGAATTGAGGAATGAGGGCTTCTCAACATACTCTTAGAAATTAAGCTGAATTTACACTTAGATCTTTACCTGTGGATTAAGCATGGAATATGATAGCATTAGAGATGTTCCTCGAAGCGTACCAATGTACCACTACCACAGGGATTTTTGGTGCATTTGTGTTAACACTAAGTGTACTGGAAGTTGACAACAACAAATGTTCAAAACACAAAGCAGTACGGCAGGCAAACTCATCAGCTTTCCATACGTGTTCGTTAAGAGAAAATAGTCCTCCAGGAAATTCATGAATTCCAGTGCTTACCCTTGCGAGCGCTGCACTGTGAAAAAACACTCATCCTTAAGGAGCTTTCTGGTAGAGGCCATGGCTGCGTACCTCCCCTGCTAGCCATCTTTTCAGTTCTGCTGAGTCATGACAGGTGACATCATACAGCTGTGTCATCATGGCACACTTGTAACAAAAGGCTATAAGTTCCATTTTGCATGTACTACCAAATGCCCACTCCTATTGTGCTCTACTTCCAGAATAATTGCCAGCTACGTTGCCAGCTTACACTAGAAAAATTTTTCCTAGCATAGTTGAAAATCTCCAAGGGGAACCCGCAGCTGGCTTCAGGTCACTCGTTCCCACACAACACTGCAAACTAGGCCAAGTGTTTTTGACAACCAGTGGTTTTCTTTTGTTTGACATCCTGCCAAAATGTTGACGGCCAACAGAAAACAGACCAAGCAGACGGAGCTCACTATACAGGTCAGGCCAAACCCTGGATTCTGCAAGTATCACAGTGAAACCACAAGTAGTTTGCAAGAGTCACCTGGCAGAAGTACAGCATGAGCTGTGATCTCTCGTGAGAAAAGACGAAGTTTGCCTAGAACAAAACCGTATGCCTGCTCTAGGAGTAGGAAAACTTTGGGGGGCTTCATTACACATAGCCTTTTACCATGTCACACAGAAGATTCTTTCAAAAACGGCTCATCCAAATACAACCTTCAAAAGTTTCTCACTATTTTTCCACCTTGAACATAGGTCTGTGCGAGAATTCTTGGCTTGTCCTCCTTTGCATTATGTTCTCTTAGCTAATGACTTTTCCCAGTTAGCTTGGCTGGGCATCCCCCAGATGCTCATGGAAAATAAAAAGAATCCTCAAAAAGCTGAAGTCAAAAAAAGGCAGTGCAGGTCAATGATGCCAAAGCCCTGCCCATTTCTCAAAGGGCTTCTCTAACTACTATGAGGATGCCTGATAACTAAAGCAAGATTTATTTAGTCCAAGAGAACAGAACTGCACTATAAAAAAGAGGAGAGAAATCATTAACAGAAATTAAGTCCAATCTTTAATTACTGTAAGCCTTTTCACAAGTTCTGAAAGAAGAACTAATTTTCAGTGAATATAACTCTAATGCACGTTGTGTCCGTAAGTTTTCCCACTCTTGGCATTCAGATGCCTGTGCATGCTCAAGATTAGAATTCTTTGGCTGGGTTCTGCCATTTGCCATCAGAAGGACATAACGTCTCTCTGCAATCATGGGTGTGTGTAATGGAGCTGGGTAGACCATCCCTCAGCTCCTTGAATGAAAGAGAATCCAGAAACACACCAAAGCAGTACAAGATGACAGCGTGATGGGACACGAAGTATGGGCCATGTGTTAGAAGAGTGACAGTTACTCTATCAGCAACTTTTTCCTTTGAAATACTGCCCACAGCTTTTCTTTTTCTAATAATTTTCAAGCTATTACTTGTCATACAGAAAGGACATGCACTTAGGCCACACAAAGAGCTTGGGAAAAATGGCCATCACTAGCAAACACTTTTCCAAGGATGTTTTGGAAACTTATGTTCCTGTTCCTCAAGAAAGCAACATGCAAATTGCATGGAAGGCTACAAAGTGGCAGAGCTGAAGTACAGAAATGTCTCTTCTGACTGAACCTAAAGCTATTGTGATAGTTTGGTTTAGTAAACTTCAGAAGCTACTTACAAGGCCTTTCAAACCACAGTTTTTCCCTTTACAAAAAAAGTAACGGTAATGACAATATAGCATAAACGTTACTGTGAAAGTCTCTGTTTCAGAGAACAAGACCAAGCTCTACAAGGAGTCTTTAAAAAGGGCTGTCTTGTTAGATGAAACCTGCCCAGAATCCAGCAGGACCTGAGTAAGAGAACAGGAGACACAAGGGCAGTACTTTGAGGATGACTGGTCCTTTTTATCTCTGAGAGCTGACAGGACTGGAATGCGTGCTGGGTTTATGGGGTGGGCTTTGGCAGCAGGGGAGAGGCTACAGGGATAAGCCCTGTAAGGAGATGCGAGAAGCTTCCCTGGCTCCCAGTGGGACCCACCTCTGGTCAGGACCGAGCCAGTCAGCACCTCTGTGAATAAACATATTTAAGAAGGGACAAAGAAACCCCCACCAGGCAAGACCTGCAAGGAAGAGAGGGGGGAGGTGGGGGCCTGGGCCCCGGCCTCTCACGTGGGTGGCTGCCTGTGCTGGGCGGTGGTGGCTGCTGCAGTGGTGTGGCTTGGAGAGCTCCAAAGCACCTTGCTCCTGGGGCGCCCACTGGGCGGAATTTGTTCTGCTGGGACTGCCAAGCTTCATCGGGCCAGTTGGGCCCAGCACGGCTGCAGTGGAGAGAGTGGGATGTGAGACAAACAACTACGCAGACAACAAGGTCAGGGAAGATGGAGAAGGAGGGGGTGTGCCAGAGTGAGGTTCCCCTGCAACCCGTGGTGAGAAGGCAGGTGGACCCCCTGATGCCCATGGAGGTTACAAGTGGAGCAGAGACCCACCTGCAGCCTGTAGAGGACCCCACACCAGAGCAGGTGGCTGTGTCCTAAGAAGCTGTGACTCCGTGGGAAAGCCCACGCTTGGGCAGTCTGTTGGGTAAGGACTGCATCCCATGGGAAGGATTCATGTCAGAGAAGTCCATGGAGAACTGTCTCCCATGGAAAGGGACATCATGTTGCAGCAGGGGAAGAGTGTGAGGCGTCCTCTCCCTGAAGAGGAAGGAGCAGCAGAAACAATGCGTGATGGACTGACCGCAACCCTTCATTCCTCATCCCCCTGCACTGCTGGGGGAAGAAGTAGAGCTGGGAAGAAGGGAGGACTAGGAGGAAGGTGGTTTTTAAGATCTGGCTTTGTTTCTCGTTATCCCCTCTGATGTGACTGGTAACAAATTAAATTGATTTGTCTCCAGGTCAAGTCTGTTTTGTCCATGACCATAATTAGTGAGTGATCCCTTCTTGTCCTTGTCTCGACCTTCAAGCCTTTTGTTACATTCTTCTCCTCTCCGTCTCACTGGGGGGACAAGGAGGAGCCAGCAAGTGGCTGTATGGTGCTTACTTGCCACCTGGGGCTTAAACCACAACATAATGTAACAAAATTCCTACCATATCTGTATGGTTAACAAGCAAAATAAAACTGGAGACCATGGTGAAAACAGCAAAAAGGCACAACACACCCATCTGCTCCTTCTCTCCTCCTACACACACACTGCCAAAAGCATCTTCGTTGGATGTACTTGGCAGAGGCATGAAGTAGCCCAGTTCTGCACAGCCCTACTGCCATTATACCACAAGACTTTCTGGGCAGACTCCAAACGAAGAGCAAACGTCAAAAGCTGTACCCTTGCTACAGAAAACAATAGTTATGACCCATTATGTATTATGGGCATTTAAACTGAAGTTTCATGCCCTGTATCTCTGTGCCAAGTCAGCCCCATATTAAGCGCAGTGAAAACTGCACTAGTGTGATATTCCAAAGGTGCTGGCATTCGAGGAGCAGTACCAAAAGCCCCACTAAAGACCATGGCATAATTCCACGGAGGGGCAGCCCATAGACATTCCTCAGCCAGTACTTACGCAGTGCAGCTGCCAAATTCACTCAAGAAACAAGCAGGCCAAATGCTACCCTTTGATGAGAAAAAACAGCTTTAGCAGCACCTTTTACTCGGTCTCTTAGAAACCACGACACATGCCCCTAATCTCCTGTTGAACAGCCTTTCATCTTTTGCTGAATGACCTTCCTTCCCTTGTGCTCATCGTGAAGACAGCTCAAAATTTCTGCCATTCCTAACAACAAAGTTAACAAGAGGACAATAACACAATAACACTTTGACGGAGACTTCTGGCCTGGAGCATTTCATTCACAGGTTTCTGATTTACTGAAGCTTCAGATACAATCCTTTCATCCTCTGTATTCATTCTGAAAATGCAATCCCAGCACTCTTCAGGAATATGCCCTTCTCTCCCAGAGAAAAGCACCAAGCATGACCTCAGTGATTAATTCCTCTCAATTCAGCCCTTACGAGACCACGCTTGGAGTGCTGTGTCTTGTTTTGAGGCTCCCCAGTACAAGACAGACATTGACATACTGGAGCAAACCCAGCAGAGGGGCATCAAGATGGTCAGAGGGCTGGTGCACACGATGTCCAAGGAGAGGCTGAGAGATGGGTTTATTTAGCTTGAAGAAAGGAAGGCTAGGGGAGTGTGTATGTGTGGGTATTCGTTGCTGTTTTCAGCTGTGTAATGGGACGATATCAGGAAGATGGAAACAGACTTTTTCCTCAAAGGCACACTGTGAAAGGATATGGAGCAACAGACACAAATAGCAACCTCTGCAAATTCCAGGGAGGTATCATGAAAAAGTTTTTCACAATGGGGAAGGTCAGTCACCAGGACAGGGCCCAGAGAAAAGGGAATCTCCAGCCCTGAGGATACTCATATCTCAACCAAACAAGGTCTTGAGTAATCTGATCTAATTGGACATTGGATCTGATACCAAGATTGGGCCTGTTTTGAACAGAGGGCTCAAGCAGAGATGTCCAGAGGTTCCCTTCAGCATTAAACATTCCATCATTCTTGATCATTTAGCAGAACAGCTTCCTTGCAAAAAGTGAAGTAATTGTCACTGAGGAATCTGGGTTTAGCCACAGAGGTTAAAATTCAATACTCAGAATAGAGATTAAAAAAAATCCCCCAAAATTTAATCACCTGCTACATACTAGCACCAACTACTTTACATATTGATGTAAACTAATAAAAACCACAGTGAAGTGTAACAACCAGCAAACACTACCCTCAGTTTGCTCTCACAGTCATAGGTTGGAAAAGGATTCAAAGGCAGCTGTATCTTGCTTCATCTTTTACACTCGTAGAACTGGATGCCGTAACGGCATGTGAAACACAACGGTGGCACAAGTGGACACCACTAACTGAACGACTCGATTTTCGAGCACAAGGTACTTGCAGACACCAACTCCGGGATACATATAAACAATTACTCTAAGAATTGGTAATCTACTGCCAAAAGAAACAGATTCCACAGTGACATTGAGCAAACTTAGCCACACAGAGATCTAGTATGATCTGAAAGCAAGATTTCCATAGGAAAGCAGTTTTAACAGTCTGAATGACATATTAGCTTTCTTCCATATCAGAAAAATAAGAGTACCTGACTACATGAGAGCTAAAAGTAAAACCAGAGGTTTTTTTACTTCTTTTAGCTTGAAAACTTGGGGATGCAATGTTAGCATAAAAGGAGACAGAGAGCAAGAGAATTCCAATGTAACATCAAGCATACTTTATAAAAATGCCCTCTGGGGTCTGTCTTAACGTTCTGTCATTAAGTTTCAGGAAGGTCTATAGTTTCAGGATGTAGCTGCAGTGACCCTCTGTTAATGGCTGCTGTTATTCTCAAGGAATTCCCAACTTTTGATACGAGGAACCTGTTGCAACAGAATGCCCTCAGCTAATACATCATTACACTTCTGCTAAACAGCTCTTCTCACTTCACTCCGTTTCCCTGATGAGAGGAAGACCTATTTGGAAACATATCCAGAAATCAGCAGTTACACAAAGCAGCACAAAAGAAAACCCTGTCAGTCAGCCTTAGATTTTGATCACAACAAGCTTCCAGGAGAGCATAATCCAGCTAAGCAGAACCTGGATATGGAACGATCAAGTAAAGGGGAAGGAGGGCACTGTGAAACGCATGGACAGAAATCCACAGCTGGAGAGAAAACTTTGGTCAGGAAGGAGAACCAGAAAAGGCAAGATTGCTGGGGAGTGGGAGTAAGGGAAAGTGTTTTCTAGGAATAAAAGCCAAAACTGACTCAAGAGTGGCCTACCTGGGTGGGAGGCCTCTGGATCGTAGATAGTTCTTTTCCCAAATGAGAAGCACGAGGCCAAAGGACCAAGAGCAACTGGGAACCTCCTACACTGCTGCGGTGATTCAAAACCCTGTGAGCAAGAGGGACATAGAAACCCAGCATCGTTGGGTTGCACTGCCTTGTCATAAAATGAGCATTCGCAGGGCATATTGTGTGCATTGCTTCCCCTACCTTCTGCTGCGTTTCTGCCATAGGTGAGCAAAATATGCCAGACTAACAAAACCAAGATAACTAGACATGGAGAATGTTCTTGGAAGAAAAATGTTCTTGAAAAGAAAAATGAATGTGAAACGCGGACTGACCTGTGTGCCTTAAGCAAATGCCAAAACCAGCCCCCCCTTCTGTTGTCGTAGTTCCAGTCTGCTCGTTTTGTAAGCAAATGCTGAGAGCCAGGCATGAGTAGATACACGTATGACAAAAAAAACCCTCTGATAAGTAGTTTTACCATATCCCTTTAACTTCTTTCAACAAGGCTTTTATTACTATGTTTAATCAACCATTTGTCTGAAATTCTAAAACTCTTCTGGAAAACAGGAATCACAAGGAAAAGTTCTGATGAACAACTCTAGCCCTGTACACTGCGCGTCAGCTCCCAGAAAAAAAAGACTGTTTCTTGCATAGACGAGAAGAAAAACAGCATTACATAACTCAGTGTATTAGTACTAAAAATACAAGGACCAAAATTTGAGTTTGAAGAATCCCCAACAATCTTAACAACGCCTACAGAAACTAGAAAAATCATGGGCAGAATGTATGAGTTTGCAATGCCAACTGTGAACATTTTTTTTACGTTCTGCACTTAAAAAGGAGCATGTAACTAGCCAGTAACTTGTAAACCTAAAAATGAGTGGAAGGCTTTATACACTTAATGGCCATATAGATAACGTGCACTAAATCTGAAAACATGTTCCCCATCCCTCCCCCCTGCCCTTATCTACAACACTGGAACAACAACATTACCTTTTTTTGATTAACGTTACCTTTAATGTCTCGATGAACAATACCATGTTCATGTAGTACGTTAATAGCAATCGTGATTTGCTTTGAGTAGAGCCTAATGACATGCTCCTGAAGGCCCAGTTTTGATACCTCCTCCAGAGTGCCCTCATCACAGTACTCCATGAAGATGTACATTTCTTCCTGTTGTGGGAACCAAATCGGATTTGATTGGTCTTAAATTTTTTAAAATTTTGGTTTTAAACACTGAATTAGGATCACGCTTTCCTTCCATCCTTCATTGTTTGTGAAAAGAGTAATGGAAGAACCATGTAACGTTTTAATGGAAGTCTCTCTTACCATGGAATACCTAATAAATCATCTTTTGAGAACTCTGTTCTCTTGGGCATGCTTCAACCTAATATATTCTATTGCACCACGATGGAAAAATCTCTGCTTCGTATCTATCTGCATCACTTGTACGTAACTGATACTGTTTGGTGGTACAAAATATGTTACTTTGGCATCAACCAAAAAGCGCTTTGGAAGAATCTTGTAAGTATAATCTGCAGCAATACAAGAAGATCCTTTGTATATTTAGCAAAAAGGAAAAATGATGTTTTGGGGTTTTTTTTGGTTTGTTTTTTTTTGTGTGTGTGTGTGTGTGTGTGTGTGTGTGTGTTGGGGTTTTTTTGTTTTGATTTTCCTTTATTCTCTCCCAGTTTCTGCAATATCATGTGCTGATTTCTTGGAGAGGGCGTTTTTTTGTTGTTGTCTGTGACTTGAAAAGCGTGCCAACTTTAACTCCCTTTCACAAAAAGTTGGGTTCTTATTCGCTTTTTCTGTCTCCAGGGCCCAGCCTATTTCAGCCAGACTTTATTAATGCAAAAAAGATGGCAAAGACACTAAGCTCTTTAGCCTGAGAAACCAATGACCCAGTGGCACAGACACCCAAAGTTGTGTCCCCAAGTAAAGAAATGCAGACAGAAAGCAGCCTTTGTCCCTTCTAAACCAGCAATGGGTCAGCAAATCAACCCATTCATATTGAGCAAATCAGTCAAAGCCACACACTGCTTTCCAGCAGACACACCAGGCGTCCTGTTTCCCGCCTACCTCACTAGGTAGAGATACAGGAAGGACTTGAGACTCACAGGGGAAGGTGAGAAGGGCACATGAGAGGCAGAGAGTAAGAAAAACAGCGTATCTCAGCATGCAACTGTGCAATCGAACTCCATTAAGAAAATCAGTTCTGCTGCTCAAGCAAGAAAACTCATTTTTCCTTCTGAAGTCATGTCAGCTGCATTCTAAAAGGTCTGCTTCCTTAAGATACTTATCTGGCATCAAGATTTAAAAGCCACCACAAAATTTTTCCAGGATTCAACAAGATATTGGTACAAGCTTTGCTGCTAACAGTGAAGGAGTTTAGGCTGTCTAGTCTATCTACACACAGAAGCTACCACACCATATATGATACAGCTTGCTTTTAGAGCAGTTAAACAGAGTAGCAGCATAAAATAGCTCCAGCATTACTCACTCTATTCACTTATTGTGAATCTTCCCTGTACCAGTTCAAAAAAAATTTATCCAAACTGTGTTTCAGAGACCTCAACATTCAGAGGAAAAAAGACACACTGCTATTCGCAGAGATATCCAGACAATTAAGCTGAACTACTATGTTCTCAAGTAAAATCTCCAGTGATCCAAAGCTTCTTAAAATTTTCTCTCTGCCTTCCCTCTAAAAAAGCCCCAATAATTTACGTTTTCTTACCCTATGGAGCTCCACACCAAAATAACGAACAAGATTAGGGTGTTTGATGCCTTCAAAAATCTTCAGTTCATCAGCTGTTTCTTTGATGGTTTTGTGATCATTAGGTTGAAACCTTATCTGCAAGAAAAATTTTTCATAATTTTGCCACTATTTCAAATTACTAAGGAACAAAAAAACCCCAAAAAACCCAACCCATAAAACAAACAACCCACTCTAAACCCAAACACAAACCAAGAAGGTAAAAAGCTTTTGAGTTTTTTGTTGATGGTGGTTTGTTTGGTGGGTTTTTTTTGTTTGTTTGGTGTTTTTTGGTTTTGGTTGTGTTTTGTTTTGGTGAGGTTTTTGGTGCTGTTTGTTTGTTGTTTTTTTTTTTTTTCTCTAAACAGCATCATCACACAAACAGTCCCAAAATCCCATCCCTCCATCCCCAAATTTAAACAAAAAAAAGAACACCAAGCTCAAATGTAGTAGACAGAGACAGTACAAGAGAACCTGAAAGTAATATCAACGAGATCTATTGTTCAAGAAAGACTAGTTGCCAGATACTTCACCAACAGAGATTGTAAGGGATTTCTTTGAGGGATTTCTTCATCGAGAATGAGGCAGTTGCAAGGAAAAGGTGTGACATGGAACAAATAAAATCATAAAGGTTTTGATGAAAGAAACAGATTTTCATTAGTTCTCCTACTTCTGTGACGGATTTTTTCATGGAGAAAAAAGAATTACTAAGTCTTCTGAAGAACTGATTTAAAGCTTCTATTCATCCAAAGATAAGCAAAAGCATAGCAAGTTATGGAAGATGCTACTTTTACCATATTGGTAGAAAGTAGAAACTTCATTAATTGCGTATAAGACAACTGCTAGAGAAGTAAATGCACATATTTTAGCTTTGGTTGCTAGGATGTTATGATTGTTTTGTTCTGTATAACAATTCCAGGATATAGTTTGTACTCAAACAGTGGTAAAATTTAAAAAAATGGAAATTACAAAAACGTGACAAATGACATTCAAGTATTTTACTATTTGCTAACGCTTTGAAGTTACAATACTATGTATTTGTAGTAAAGTTTGTCCACTATAATTTGTAGGGATGTTAATGACACTGTGGTTAAAACAGTAAAGTCTGAAGAAATCTCGAGGGGCAGAGCGAATGCAATGTTCTTAACGAGTTTAAAAATTAATAAGTAAATCTTCTCCCAGGGTACTCTTAAGGAAATCCAGAAAAGCCTTTTACTTGGAAGTTGCAAAAAGTTTACGTTTAAGCCCACAGTGGGTGGGAAGGGAATGTTTCTTGGTGAAATAATTCTGCAAGTTAAAAATACTAGAGGAAAAGGGAGCATACTGTATACTTGGCCAATTAGTGAAGTAAGTGTCTGTCAAACGAGGTCCATGCAACTTATTTGAATTTCTGCTAAAGAGCATAAGCATGCTAATCTGTGAAAAGCAACTGCATCTAGAAAGCAACTTTGAATTACAGAAACAGAGTGCTACTGATGGGGAGAAAATGTTATTTCATCAGGAGAAAAAAAAACAAACAAAAACAACAATAACATTTCAAATGTTAGTATCTGTCAGTGAGTGAGTATGGTACAAGAAGTTAAGCACAAGCCCAGTCTTGCTTCTCTGCAGCTTTGAGACACACATACATATTGCAGTGTGAAAGAACTGGCTCATAAAATACAACAGCTCTAGCATCAAATGGCTGACATGGTAACTGTTGTGAACAGTTGATGCTCACAGTTGTCTGAAGACATGGAAATGCAATAAAACCAAACACTACAAATATTTTTAAAAACAAGGTGTGTAGCGAAACAGATCTCTATGCCTACACAGCTCTACTTACTTCTATCCTGAAAACTAAACTTTCCGTACCCACCAGGTTAGTCAACTGTTTTGTGACTCAGCCTAGCTCATTTAAACTACAAGAGAAGCTGAAAAACATCTCATATGACACTTGCTATCTTTTTCTCTAAGAAATGAAGAAAAAAGGAATAAAATGTGAGATGAAATACTGCAAAGTAAAATATGTGTACAGTCTTCACTAATCAGAAAACTCTTTCCAAAATAATTTAAGATCTCTTAATGGGAGTTCCCACATATTAAGCAAGCATTCATTAAGTTCACAACATCCCTATGTGACTAGTAAAAAAAATTATCCATTTTACATACATTTAAATTGAAAGCTGTAAATTGAAAAGAAAAATCTTAAGCAACTTAAGGAGGAACAAGTGATAATAGCAGATGTGGCTACATGAAGAAACAATTTGTTTTCCCATCCTTTCTCAGTTAGCTAACAACAGCATTGAGAAATTTTTAATGCCTGCTAACTCGTGCACATCTGGTTTGCAAAAAACAAGGGCAGCAGTGATTCTTGCATACAGAGTACTCACTTCCTTCATGGCCATCAGCTCTCCAGTGTCAACACTGATACAGGTATAGACCTTCCCATACTGGCCTTCACCTGCAGAATTAAAATAAAAATAAGAAAAATTAATTATGCTACATTCAATAAGCAACACGTACATCAACTGCAATAAGAAAACACATCACTGAAAATTGCACTTCCCAAGGTTATTTATTTTCATTTAAAATTTCTAGTAGCTTTTAACCTGTGTCACCTAATACTACTAATACTAATTCATAGTCCTGAATTCAAGCTGACTAAAAGTAAAAGCATTACGTTAACAGGCTGACCTGAAAGAAAACTTCTCATGAATATGAAGAAACTAGAGAGGAAACAATAATCACATGGGGAAAACAACAACAATATTGGTGAATTAAACAAATCCCAAAGTTTATGCTCATTTCCATTCATATTTCTGGTTCTCCCAAAGGCAGACCTCATCAAACATCTTATAGGGTTGAACACATGCAGGAATTGCAGCATCATACCTAAGTAATTGTCCTAATAAAATCCTTCTCCTCCTTCGTTCCTTGTTATTTGACCAGTGAAAACTTCAGTGAAGTTCTACACAAAGGAAATCCTAGCTGCAGTAGTGTTTTGTACTTTAACATTTTGATTTCAATAAAGCTGTTATTATCTACGCGGAGATCCAAGATTTCAAAAGATACTCTTAGATTTCCTTCAGAAATATTAAGCTTGGTATTTAAACTCGATAAATGAAGGTATAATGAACGTACCAATTTTGTTTCCTCTCTGCCACTTGAAAGTCACTTTTCTCAAACCTACATGCATGACATTATCATAAGATTTAGGTGTGTCACAAACTTGACCAATGATGTTCTTCCTCCTCATCTCTCTGTATCTCCTTTCTTCAAACAACTGAACAGACTTTTGAACAGCTTCAATCGGTGCTTGCTTGGAAGTAGTGTCTAAAAAGAGTGATGAACAATTTCCTTGATTGAGAAATATTCACTGTGTTTATATTTTATTACCTTTTGAAATATTTTAGCAATCGCATATATAACTATTACTTACAAATCACATATGAAACTAAAGTAAAATGAGAATACTGGTGCTTTTGTAATCGTCTCTTACTTGATTCAAGGATTAAACCAAAATTCTTGTCTTATCCACAGTGGAGAGTTCGACCAGTTCCCTTTGCAGCAGTCTACTAGAAATTTACGGGTTTTCCCTTATTCTTCTTTTCTGGATTAAACACTCTCAATTCCTTCATCGTTCATGTTCCAAACAAAAACCAAGCATTCCAAATTTCAGAAAAAAACTTTGCTGTTCTTCCTGTGTTCTGTCCGAGTGACATCAATGAGATCAGATTTTGTGTGACAGAAAATTTTTTTCTAATGTTTCATGAGATTCTACCCCATCAGAATATATGCAAGCAGGCTATACGTATGTAATTCTACAGTGTAGGAGTCTCAGAAGTAATCAAGTTACTTCAAGTTTCATGAAAATAAGCAGCAGGATAGAGAGGAAGAGAACCGATAAAAGCTTTCAACTTGGGAAATAGTCTAGGATAACACACTATTGAACACTCAAAATAAGAAAAAACTGCAGGTTGGGGAGAGCTCTACGGAAGTCAAGAAGTGCTTCCTACTGTCATGCAATTCACAACTGGGCACTGAACAGGGACAACAAACTTCTGCAATTCCTATAGTAATAAAGGTACTGACTTTGTAGGACAACACTGTTAGTATCTTTCAGAAACTGAAAAGATGTAACCTTTATGAAGGTTTTATGAAGTTTAATTATTCCCACCTCAGAAAGTACACCTTGTGATTTCGCCCCCCACCCCTTCTCATGCAACAAAGCTGTGGAAATCTCTTCATAATCAGCTTTAAGATTCCGCCTTTCAGTACAGCACTAGTTTCATAGATGTTACATTATAGTGACTCCTGGACACCTACCTTTCGTCTGGTTGATTAAAGTTCGAAGCTCCCAACTCCGCCGGGACGAGCCACTTGAATCTCCTTTTGGATACGATGGTTCTAGGGAAATAATACTGTGAGCATAAAAGTGGCTTTATCTCATATTAAGGATTATGCCACTATATTCAGTGGAAGCTGAGATCTTACGTATTAGGACTGATACACCCTACAAGTATATAAGGCAACCATGTAAGAAGGTATGCTCTTGAATTCAAAATGACTTATTTTTGGAAAACAAATTATGAAAGCTGTTCTGAAATAGGATTTAATTTATATGGGAACAGAGATCGCCTTCCACAATTGAGGGAAGCACTTCAAGTCAGGGCACTACGAATCAAATATGTAAGGAAATACACAGGAAAACAAGCTTCTAAGGTTCCTTAAAAAAAGGCCTGTGTTCATTCCAACCTAAGCCAGTTTCTTATTCATACAGACACCTAAAAAGGGAATAAGCATAAGGCAGGCAATATTTTCAATATCTGCTTTAAAAAACAAACAAACAAACAAAATCCCCCACATCTCTTAGTACAAATTTTTAAGGCATTTCTTTCTTAGAAATCCACTTCATTTTGCCAGATGACCACAGTATCAACTCTACTTTACTTGGGATTTTGTACTTCGTTTTAACTTGCACAGAATGCACTGTCTTCACAATCAATGTTTCAAGGTATTTGTTGTAATAAATACCACACATACAGGGCAAACATGAAGGAGGAGCCCTGATTAGGACATCAAGTCACACACCTTGTCTCTTCTTCTTGTAAGATTCAAATAACAGCAAGTATTTGTAAGATGAACACTGCAGTGGCAGTTAAACAATTGGACAGAAAAATCTCTGCATTGTCCTGATGGATCCAGTTCACACCTCATTAACAGCATTTAGAAATCTACTATTGAATGATGTACGTAATTCAGCAATCAGGTTATTCATCTCATTTTGAACATTGTAACTTAGTAAGACACCAGGAGATTCCTTCAGGTACAATTCAGAAACAATATGAGAGGCAAGAGAATAGTGGATATGTCTGAAAACAGAAGAACTTATTCTGACAATATAAGCCTAAAAGTTAAAAATCTAGGACTTTTGAATGGGAAAAGGTGCAAAAAATTTTTGGAAAGGGTAAGAACTGGGAAGAGAGAGAAATATGTTAATGACATAAATCATCTGCACATCCAGGCCACAATCTGTTACTGTGACAATCACCTTCTCGCTCTTCAGTGGGACTGGAGTGACGGCTAAGGGATCTGAACTGCAACTCAGCTGCTATTGAAGCCAGTCGATCATTTTCAGGGACACTGGAACCCCTGTTAAAAAGAGCCATTGCACTAATTAACTTCGCATTACACTGAATAACTACTAGTGAAAATTTAACTGCAGTTTTAAAGAGAAAGAATCTCTGAAGCCTAGGACATGAACCATGAAGGTAATGTGAAAGAAAAACTGATGCTGAGAGGTAAACTGAAAACCCTTCCTATGCTATTTTTTCCCCTCAAATGAAGAATTTTTATGTAATTTTAGTTATATCACTCTAAGAAAAACCCCTAAGTTTCAAAGCATAAACTACTTGAAGCCATTACTCGCACATAACAACAGAACCCTTTTTAATGCTTGTAAGATACTACTAAGAGCTGTTGCAGGACGCAGCTGGTGCCAGCTTTGGCTCAGTCAGACGTGATTCCGCTGGGTGATAACATCACCCACGTTATCAGATGAAGGGTGGCAACCGAATTCCTATGCTTCAAGTGCACTGCAAATACAATCATAGGTCATAGCCATGAAGTCAAACCTAGCGGGAAGAGCCACAAGCCAGCCGACAGGAAGGACAGTGCTAAACGACAGCAGCTTGACTGCCTGGAGGCCCTAGCTCCTCCAGGCAGCACAGAGAGAATTAGATACCTCAGAATAAGACCCAGATGAATAAGCAAGCTAAACAGAAAGGGAAACAATACTGAGAGAAATGAGCCTTAAATATTCAGGCACCTTTCCCCAGCCCAAGACATCGATCAATCAATCCACACTTCAGAGCCATAAATTCCTCATGAAAGTCTTTCTACAATAACTCTCTTTTGGACAAGGCTTCGTTTCAATTGTTAAAAGTATAGTGGAGAAGAGCTGTGACTGATGCCTCCTTTAACATAATGCTTTAGAGGTATGAGCTAAACACTGCTGGAAAGCAGGGAACATAGTGAAATCCTTCACTGAAAGCTAACAACTACAAAAAGATGAAAGACACCTGGCATAACAAAGTGCACACACTTACGAGAGGACTTCCCGACAGACCTAAAGTTGCTTCCGAATTGTATCCAATTATTACCTAGTAACAGTAGAAAAAAGAGGAGGAGAAAAAAAAAAATAGACACAATCTTCACAATTTGGAGAACAGAAGCCAAAACCCAAGACATCCTATTCCCAGGCAAATGTTCTCAATATGATGTTTGCTTTGCACTCCCTACTACTGTCTAATAGATTTTTTTAAGTTTGAGGAGGAACTGAAATTGAACTCGTGAAAATCCTCTGAATTCTTCAGGAAGCTGAGGTTTTAAATCAGCAAGAAGGCTGAGGTTATTCTCAACACATACAGAGCAACAATTCTAGATCCACAAAGACCTTAAAAGCAAGCAAAGCTAAACCAGCTCTAAAATGAGGTAGTAGCTGAACAGAGAACCTTAAGCATCATAGCACTGAATGTAGGTGTCTTAAATCCATTTCAACCCCATCTTAGCTACTCAGATCTTTTATTGTTTGTGGCCAGAAAGATTGTGTGCATGTTATTCAGAAAAAAAAAAAAAGAGTAAAAGAGAAGACGACTTGCTAAATTTCTGCTTCAGTCCTGGATAAATACAAAATGATGAATGATAACCTCAGCTAGCTCAGAAATTAAACACTTAAAAAGGTCATCAGTATGAACATAGCGTAAACATATAACCATCAGAAAGCTCAATGTAAACAACCAGGTATTGTTGCTTTGGATTTTACTTCCTAGTTATATTAAACTGATTTATTTAAAAAAAAAAAAAAAAACCAACTTCAATAGAACTATGGTGGCATTTGTGCACTACGCACTGCCTAGTACAACTGATATATCAAGTTTCTACATTCAACTTTTTATAGATATTAAATGCCTACAATCATGTCATAAATTATAGTTTATGGAAAGTGTACAAAGTTCTGTTTCTGTGTTATTGCAGCAACATTTCTTGCATACCAAACAAAAAAAAAACCAAAACACTTTTTCGATCCAACAGATTCCATTTCTCTTTTGGAGCACAAATATATGAAATCCATAATTAAGACTGCTATGTGTTAAAAGTTTGCAACTTTCTTTTAATTATATTAAACCCAGAAATTTTCTATATCGCATTGTAATATTTTGCCTTCCTTGGTAGAAAAAACTCAATATCCTCCAAAATCCCTGGTTTTGCTTTAATAATTTTTTTTTCTTCAAATTCTTTGTTGGTAATACAAGAGGCTAACCGATGCTACTTAAAAATCCAGGCAGTGTATAAAAACAAAACGTCATGGGATATTTTATTAACAACCATCAGAAAAGTAAAAACTAAGAGCTCTAAGAAAAATACATGTCTCTGAAAAACAAGCCTGGGCAATTAGACTAAAATGCTGCATTAACATCAACTTTCATGTTACAATCCATGAAAGTATTATGCATTCGATTGCAACTAAGAAGCAGAATTCTTATTTCTTTTCTTCCTAATATCTATCCTATCTTCTTGAACTCGAAGAAACTGTCAGAATGCCAACCTTCACATTTCGATCAATATTTGTGTAGGACATGCATGCAGGAAACATTAAAAGAATATACTACTCTATTCAATTGTGTCAAATTATGAACCTGACAGTTGCAATGAGTGATATAAAATCACAACAAAGCCTACAAGTATTAAAAACTAGCTTCCTATCTCCCTCTTGAAGAATTAGCGAACATGTACAAGAGACCTTTTGGTACTCTGCAGTAGAAGTAAGCATCCAAAAAGTTATTTATAAACCCTAAGATAACATCATTATGTGAATAGCAGGATTTTCACAGTCAAAGGTGCAAGGAAAAAAAAAAAAAAAAAGAGTAAATTTAGAGAACTTGGGAGACGTGTCAATGATCTGACTGTGGTATAAGAAGCAGGAACACCAACAGTCTGAAATGTAACAGCCAAATCAGAGGCCAAAAAGCAATAAAGATACTAACATAGTCTCCCAAAAAATGCAATCATGACCTCTGCAAACAGATGATAGAGGAGTGGTTTGTTACACGTCCCGATACAGGAACAGTTTAATTCATATAAAGTTTATTCTGCACAACCCTAAGAAGCCAAAGGTGTAGTGAGGAAGAAAAAAACCCTCCTGAAATCTTATGTGTTTAATTCTGTGTTTGCCACTATGTAATATTTCAAAATACTCATGGCAGACAGTAACAATACCAAACGGTTAGCTAATATAAAAATAAATAAATAAGTAAATAAAAATCATAGGGCTTATTTGCATGTTGCAGTCGTTTTAATGCAAAGCGCTAGGTATCAATACTAATTATCTAGTAAAGTTATACCGATGAACTGACTGGCATACGTTAATTTCACGGACATCTTTACTGAGCAAATTTTTAATCTACGTCAGAACCACACGCTTTAACTACGATATCATTCAGACATTTTAAATCTGAAAGCGGTCTTATCATCTATTTCTAAGATACAAGATTTTGCTCAAGTCAAACATGAATGAAGGAGCCAGCGGAAGACATGATGGGACGGAAAAACACAGTGCAAATGATCTACTAGGATGCAAGTACGTGGAAACAGTTATGGGTGATGTAAGTAGAATGAGTCTGCTACATCATGGAGCTGAGCTACCTGGTATCATTTGCACTGCTGACAGGTTTGGGTTGAGCTGAGTCGCTACCGATGGGAGTGGGGCGACTGACAGCAACGCTGCAATGGTTCCGTGCATCACAAGGGACATTCCGTGTGCTGTGGCAAGAAGAAAAACTTCAGGAAACAGTTTTTTTTAAAAAAAAAAATAGTAAAAACGTATGTAGTTGAAAGTTTATTTTAAAAATAAAATTTTAAAGTGTGCATAATGAGGCCTGATTTTAAAAGTGTTTAAAGTACATAAAGTCTTTCGTGTGGAACAATTCTGGGTCTCAGAAGCTCCAAGGGCTGTCAACACATACAATAATAATAATAATAATAATCTTCAAAATAAAAATTTCCAAATCTTTAGAATAGTACTAGGTTCCTGCCAACAGCTAAGCAACTTTCAAAAAAATGTCAAGTGTAGAGTTTGATACTATGTTGATCTTCTTGAAAAACAAAGCCCTCTATTTGTGTAAAAATGTGCATGGCAAAGTTTATTTTGAAATATTTAAAAACTATTTTTGCATTAATTCTCAGGTCAACTCTTTCAAAGGGAAGCAAAACCATCCATTGCTTTAAGCTTCTTCACAGCAGGTTGGTAATGACGCAGAAATGCCACCATATTCCAGAATGCTACATTTTTAAATCTTACCTATGCTAAACTACAGAAAGCACTGTCACATGCATGTATAAGACATTGACAGTGGAGAAGGAAACAAAAGTCTTGTTAATGAGCAGTTTTCACTGAATTAAAGCTTATTACATTGAAACACTGTTCTCAGCAAAGACGAAGTGTTAAGAATGACTTCAAAGTGAGAAAGCATACACCAAAAAAACCTGTAAAATAAGAAGGAGGGAGGGAGGGGAGAGAAAAAGAAACTATATTGTCCTTAAAAGCACACTGATAAAATGTGGATCACTAACATGCTGATTTTTCCTATCTGCTTTGCCCTCAACAGGAAAGAAAAGGTGTTGCACTTACTGACAGTCAGCATAGCCAAGAGAGGACAAACCAGTTTAGAACTCTGTACTACTGCTAAATACCTGAAGCCTTCAGGCGTAGGGATGATAAGATGAGGATTAGGTGGATCACTATGGCACCGAGGTACTTTTACAGGACGGGGACTGTTTCGATGAATAGCTGCAAGCATAAAAAAAGGTGGCACATTTACTCTCGGATGTCAGAGATATTCTGTTAGGGCCATTTAAAGACACAAAATTAAAAAAAAAAAATCTTATTTTACAGAGTTGTGTGTGAACTGAAACATATATTCTTATCCTTTAAGAAAAATCCAAATGATCTCCATTTTAAATAAATCAATTATACATATTAATATTATTCATATTATTGTATCATGTAACTCATCTATAAAATAATGAAAAATCTCTGAGAATTAAAAATTATCAATTGGAAGATGTGTACTTACTTCACTAAAACTACATCATCATTATTTCAACTTCACAGATTAAAGACTATTTGTCATCTTATTGTGAAATAACTATCAACAAACCAAATAATAATTAAAAATATGTTCCTTTTGCATCAGAATCAGTTTTCTCAGACAACAAATGAAAGCAAAATGAGCTGGAAAAACACCCCACATATGATGGTTTTACCCATACCAATGCCCTCCACAACAGTCTGCCCCAAGGAAGTGGTACAAAGGGACAGTGTCAAACCTAAATGAGCTATCATTGTCCTCATGCCTAGCTGATTCAGTGCCCATAAGAGTAGTCTGCAGCATCTTCCCCTTCCCTCAACCCCTCCTTAACTGGCCAGAAAAATCGCAGAATCAGAATGGCACAGGCTGGAAGGGACCTTAGACATCACCTAATCCAACCTCCCTGTCAAGGGCAGGGATGCCTCTCAACTAGATCAGGCTACTCAAGGCTCTGTTCAACTTGGCCTTGAACGCCTCCAGGGAGGGGGCATCCACAACTTCTCTGGGCAATTTATTCCAAAGTCTTACCACCCTCGTACTGAAGAATTTATTCCCAAGATCTAATCTAAATCTGTTCTCCTTCAACTTAAACCCATTTCCCCTTGTCCTATCAGTGGACACTCTTGTAAAAAGTCCCTCCCCAGCCTTCCTGTAGGTTCCCTTCAGGTATTGGAAGGCAGCTATTAGGTCCCCCCAAAGTCTTCTCTTTTCAAGGCTGAACAATCCCAGCTCCCGCAACCTGTCCTCGTAGCAGAGGTGCTCCAGCCCCTGGATCACCTTTGTGGCCCTCCTCTGAACACGCTCCAACAGAACTATGTCTCTCTTATGGTGGGGACACCTGAACTGGACGCAGTATTCGAGGTGAGGTCTCACAAGAGCAGTGTAAAGGGGAAGAA